GCTTCAGCAAGATCCATCTAGCAATAGTGTATGGGCTGGTTTATGAGACATTAAGCTTGCAGTCCAGGTGAACTAATTGGAAGCTATCATAAGAGCCCAAGGTAGGGGGAAATTAGGAACAGAACAAGAGCAGAAGTAATCAGATTAAAAGGAAAATACTCTGTCAGTAGAAGCGACAGTTTAGTGGCAGACTGGGTGTGAGAGAGCCAGGTGTCCAGCCTGGGTGACAAGATGGAAGTCAGTAGGAACATGGGCTTTAACATCGGGGAGGATTGGGAAGAGCTCCGAGAAATAGTATAGTGTGGTAATCTTGTTTACAAAAGCACCTCTCAAGTTGGCACCTCTCAATGTTCCCATCTCTCAAGTGTGGACTTGATAAAAATGTATTGGCCTAGAATATTTTGGGGATACAAAAAATAGTTTACAGACTTGAAAGCTGTAATAATTTTCAAGCCTTGACAATCACGTGTCAACTACCTTGGTTTGATGACAATTGCTCCTAATCCTCATTAAAAATTACACAGGGAAATAAGAGGAATAAATTAGAATTCCACAGCTATCAGGGACCTTGGAAAGCCTAGTCCAACACTTCATTTTCTAGAAGAATAAATTCAATCGCAATTATTGTGAAAAACATGCAAGCTTGCTCACGGTGACATAGGTAGCTAATGGAAAATTTAGGATTGAATCCCAGATTTCCAAATGTCTAGCCCATCACTGTCTGTGGAACAGGACATTGCTTTTCCTTAGGAAGACAGAGTACCATTTCATTTCAATTATAGTTTCTCTATTGTCTTTTCTTCACTGTCTTCCTCCAAACAAGTTTCTGAAAACACTGAGGACTTCGTTTCTCTTAACTCTCTCATAGGCCTCCTAACCATTCCCTTAAAAAGAAATAGGTAAATGAACAGAGTAAATAGACAACCTACAGAATGAGAGGAAATATTTGCAAACTATACATCCAACAAAGGACTAATATTCAGAATCTACAAGGAACTCACACAAATCAGCAAGAAGAAAACAAATAAGCCCATTAAAAATGGGCAAAAGACACGAACAAAATTTTTTCAAAAGAAGACAAACAAATGGCCAAAAAACATTAAAAAATGCTTAACATAACTAATCATCAGGGAAACACAAATTAAAATCTCAATGAGATACCACCTTATCCCTGTCAGAATGGCCATTATTAAAAAGTCAAAAAACAACAGATGTTGGTAGGTATGTGATGAAAAGGGAACACTTATACACTGTTGGTGGGAATGTAAATTAGTACAACCTCTATGGAAAACACTATGGATATTTCTCAAAGGTCTAAAAGTAGATCTACTATTCAATCCAGCAATTCCACTACTGAGTATCTACCCAAAGGAAAAGAAGTCATTTTATCAAAAAGACACATGTACTCGTGTGTTTATTATAGCACAATTCACAATTGCAAAGATATGGAATCAACCTAAGTGTCCATCAATGGATGAATGGATAAAGAAAACGTGGTGTACACATATAGCATAGAATACTACTCAGCCATAAAAAAGAATGAAATAATGTCTTTTGCAACAAGTTGGATGGAACTGGAGAGCATTATCCTAAGTGAAGTATCTCAGGAACAGAAAAACAAATACTGTTTGTACTCACAAGTGGAAGCTAAACAATGGATATATATGGTCATAAAGTTGTGTAACAGACTTCAAGAACTCAGAAGAGGGGAGGGCAGGGGGTGAGGCATCAAAAATTACCTATTGGGTACAATGTGCACTATTCAGATGATCAGTACACTAAAAGCCCGGACTTCACCACAATACAATTCATCCATGTAACAAAAAACCATTTGTATCCTGAAAATCTATTGAAATAAAAATAAATAAATAAATCCTTAAATCTGCAAAGAAAAAAAGAAATAGCAAAAATCAACACAATTTTATTCCTTGGTTGAAATAAAGGTGGTATATTGACAGGTGGGACGGAGTTGGTGAGGGGAGAGGCCATAAATGAACAGCAATGCACAATATCGGTGTACTACTTTTATGTGTCCATAGTAATGTATATACAAACATGTCACAGTTGAATATCAGCTAGAATAAAACAGAGGTAATAAGTCAACTGACAATGGGATTGATGTTGAACCTTTAAAAAAATGAAATAGATAAAGTAAACAATTTTTCCATATTGATTCTTCTCATTCTAGAATGTCAAGAAGAATAAAAACACAGTAATAGGTGAACATAGCTCACAAAAGAGAACAATTTATGCTACCTGGCATCTTCAGGACAAATCTGAAAATTACTGTTAGGTAACAGCTCTGACCTACAGGGTGCAGACTCAGGATTCCTGGGGGAAAGACCTGAGTTATTTTGTATTATCAGAAGGTACTGTATTATATTAAATCATATCTTCATAGCCAAAGGGAATGTTGAACAACCATGCTTGTTGATTTATCCAGAGATTGGGGGCTTTTTAAACAGGCAAAAGCAATTACCTCGATCCCAAAATGGGCATAATTGAGTATGAGTAATCTATTTTGAATGTCGGCACATCGTGAGTTCATCAATATGACAGGAAGACAGAGAGATCATAGTAGTTACCTATTGTTTATAATCCCTTCGAGAGCCAATGCAGCTCCTCCAATTTCCAACAATCCACTTTTTCTTTAATGGGAAATTTATTCTTTAAAATTTCCTCTATGCCCCACTCTCCCTCACGCCTGTGCACATCCAGCATGGAAAAATCAGTGTAGCTGTCTGCTATTCACTGGATGCTGGGTTTGTGTCAGGGAGTTTATGCCCGTTCCCTCATCTAGTCCTTGTGTAGCTCCCTGAGGCAGGCACATTTTCAAACCAGGAAACACAAGTTGAAAGGAATTAAAAAACTTGCTCAAGGTCATTCCATTTGTCAGTGGAAAGGTCAGAAATCAAACCAGGCATATCTGCTGCCAAATTTCATGGTTTAACTGTGGCATCCTGCCCCCACCCCAGCCCAGAGGTAGACAAAATGTTTATATGAGTAGAATGTATTCACATGTGGGAATACTACCTATAAGAGAAGGTAGAGGAAGTGAAAGGGATTTCAGTACCCATATTTGGTCCGCTTTGGTTGTCAAAGTGAGTTATAGCTTTCTAGTCTGAACTTGGGTTGAACAATAATGGCTCTCTTGGCCTCTCTAACTGATCTCAATGAGGCAACAGGATGTTCATTCTTCAGTGTTCTAGCTTGTTCTACAAATTAAATTCTAAAATTGAAATATTTATTGCCATATCACTACCTTCATGAGAAACTAATAATTAAAATGATGGCTGATATAGTCTTAGAAAATCTAATCAGTTATTCAAAGAACTTAGAATCTTACTCCCCTTCTTCTGATCCAGCTAATCCCAAGGTTCCAATGGCTCCAAAGGCCATGGCTATATTGCTGCTATATCTTGTATCAGAGCTTGAAAAAGCTGGATTATTAAAGTTTTCTGTATGGACCTTCCATAACCTCTGCAATTTTACTACCTAAGGAGGAGTTTTATAAGGTTTACTAGTTTTTAAATAGCACCCAAAGCAAACTAGAGCTCTTCCACCTTAGATCAAATGTGGCATCCACAAGAAAAATCTGAGGTTGGGAACACTTTTCAGCTGTTGCAAAAGTCTGATAACCATATATAGTACTTAATATTTACTGGACTAAGGGTTTTTTTATGTCAAGTTCCTCTGAAAGTAAGGACTAGCTAAGGAAATTTATTCAGATGGACCAAGAAAGAGAGAACTACTCTTTCTAAATGAGCCAATGATCACATGAATCACTTTCACATGTCTGGTACATCTTAAGCACTTGATAAATAATTAGTAGATGAACTATTGTCCTCTATTACTTTCATTGTCAGAGCACAAAGCAGAGAATCCAATACAAAGGGTGGTGAGTACAACAGTGTAAGTTCATTTTGCTTCAAGTAAATGCAGATTTTCAAGCAAGATAAACAAACAAAATTCTCTTTCTTTCAGACAAGGTTCGCTGCAGGACCCTTTTAATTAGACTATTTGCCAAAAGATTAAACACAATCTAATTTAAAAAAATAGGATTCACACGCAACTTTGAGTAAATTCATAAAGTGAGCTCATTATAAAGCCACCTAGCCACCCTCCTTAAAAAAAGAACAATGTTTAGAATACCCACAATAATTCCAGGCTTGGCTTCTCCCTTACCCCGCCCCCTATCCCATCCACATTTCTCCTGTGTTCTTCTGGCTAGTTCATTTTTGTGTGTCAGTGTTAGAAAAAGTGTCAACTTTCCCAGGAAACTTCCCTTATTCACCAAACCAAGAAACACTCTGTCCACATCTCTGTCATTGAATTATTCCACTGTACTATCATCATGTATTTATTGCCTTGTGTTCAACTAAAACTCTTCTTAAGGTAAGAGAGGCATCTTAATCAGCTCTGTTTCTTTGCTATGCCTGGGACATAGTAAGCTCTCAATAAATATTTATGGAATGAATGAACATATTACAGACATAAAAACATACAAATCTTAGGAAATGGCTGGTGTTCACATGGAGGTAAATTTAGTTTGAAAATGTAAATGGAAGTGGTGGGTCTTAAATAGTTTGAAAGACTTGATGACTTTGATGTAGCCTGGTAGAGGGATATATAGAAAACTGCAGATAAGAGAGAAAGCATCAATCAAATCCCCATATTTGCAAAGGAATTCCAAATGATAGGATCATTTGCCACGATGTAGTAGAGATCATGATCACATGTACAAGTACAGAGAGACATGAAAATAACTTAAGAGGTTTGGTCCTCTCGGTCAAGATCTCTTCTCTGATCTAAATCTAGACCATGCAAACTGTTACTAGGCATACCATATTGTCATCACCAATGCCTCGTGTGCACTGCAAGACTGAGGTCTTTCATTCTTACTCTTCAGTGCCATGTAGGACTAAGCATTTCTTGCCAAAAGCAAGAATAAACTGTTTTAAAGCAGATGCAGCAGGATACTCTCAAGGGCAACCTCTTACCTGCTGGTTCTGATAGGCCGTGACTGTGGTGAACACAGTCTCAGGAAAGTTGAATGTTTTCACCCCATCGCCAACAGGGACAGGCTTGGTGGGTGAAAGGTCACTGCTGAAGTCCTTGCGAATCACGTGAACTCGAGGCTGGTATTTGTGCATAGAGTGAAGAATGATCTGAAATGAGAAGGAGAATTATGTAGGGACTTTAAGGTCCCTACATTTTTTCAAGCTCTAATGCAAAATAAATCACAGGATGGAAGCATTACAGGAAGAGCATAGATTGGGGGTAGAATGTACAGGAAACTGGAAATCAGTGTACTTGTCCATGGCAGGAAGGACTAAGTGATCGGAGAGCATTACATAGAACCATATAGCAGGGTGTCCTTATCATGGATGGTAGATGTCATATGTTTGCTTTCATTGGATAAATGCTGAATGATGGTTCTAGTACCAGTGGACAGCACTCCACTAAAAAGTCTCAGAACCTCTGTCACGTGAAAAGTTGTTTCCTCCAGCTTCAAATTTTCAGCATGGGTTCATGCTGTCTTTAAACTCCATTTGTCATTATTTGCATACATAATTGAATTTATGAACATTCTTTTAAGCCCTTTAAGAGTGAATGGTAAACGTGTGTTCTCACTCCCTCAGAATATTGTCATTTTCTTTTTTTTTTTTTTTTTTGGTCATTTCCTTGAAGACAGGAGCTATGGTTTTAGCTTCTTCAATCTTCCCATAGCACCCAGTACAGATCCCAGCACTCAGGGAAAATTCAGTACATGTTTCACTGTCCAAGATAAATTAATAACATCAGGTGCTCCAGTTATGCCTGGAAAGACTTAAAACTTAGTTCTCTCTTATAAATTCATAAATTTCTTGACAAATCAGCCAAAACTGATATTCAATTGTTTCCTCTAGTTTATTGCCTTGTGAGTACTGAATGTTGTGATTTCTTTTACCATTGTTTAATTTGTCTTGTGTTTCTGTCTTGCCCCCCTGACTAGACTGTAAGTCCCTGGAGCACAAGGACTTTGTCTGATAAACACAGCCTGATGCACAGCAAATGTTTACTAACTGTTAGATTTTTAATAAATGAAATTGAACTGGAGAAAAAACGTCTACACTTACTTACTTAACATGACTTAAAGTGGCATAGAGATTCTTATTTTACCAATTTGAAAAAGCCTGGGGCTACTCATGTCTAAAGCAAAAAGGGGAACAGAGAGGAAAGGGGAGATGGGATTCTTTGACTCACATGTCCTTGATCATCCAATTCATTGTTGGTCAGCTTGAGTTTGTCGAAACTGACCACCTGTCTCATCCAGGTGTCTCCAGAAGCTAGAGAATCAGGGTGTATATAAACTCTTGGGGGCACCGGGGAATCGGCATTGCCGGCCACCATCCACTTGGAGCTATGATACACATATCTGAGTGGGAGAGGAAGAGAAGAAAATTCAGAGACGGATGCAGAGAGGGGACAGAGGCCCAGGAAACAAGTTGAGACAGGAAAGTGGAGAGACAAAGAGGTAATGAGAATGGAAAAGTAATGGCAGTGAAGCAGAGAACCAGAGGAGAAAAAGAGAAGGGCAGATAACCAGAGAAAATGAAGTAGAGATAGAAGTGGACAACGAGATGGTGGGGGAGGGCAGAGAAGTTTTGTGGTTAATGATCAAAGCTACAGCTCTCACGAGGAAAACATTCTCACAGTCTTTTTCCTTTCTTCCCCCTCTCCTTGCCATGCACCCCTGTGTGCACACAGGCAGCCTGCATTCACGTGTCTAGCTATGGAAAAGACATTTTACTGCAACCTTTCACCTTTCAAATGCAAACCATATAATCCCTTGGCCACTTGTTCAGGATTTTGTTCCTTATTAAAAACATCTTCCATATTGTCCTATAAAATGCAGCCATGTGCAGAGACCCTCCACTCCCCTCACTGGGTTAACCATTTCCTTGCTAAGAATCTGAATTTTGAGGCATTTCTATGAAAATGGAGGGCCTTTGCCTTAGTGCAACCATTCCCAGAAACACCACCAAATATTCCTAGTTAGTGTTTTCTTTGATGAACCCCTAGTGTTAAACTTCATTATCTTCCACATTGGTTTCCCACAAAGCCACTGGAAATGCAATACTGTTGGTAGTAAGGAAAGTCAGTTTTCCAGACTTTGCCAATTTTCCCGTAGTTCTGAAGAGCTGTGTCTATCGATCTGGCAATTCCTGTTTCTCACTTCTAAATGACCACATGGGACCTGGACCCTGACAAACAGGTGCTCAGTCCAAATCACAACTCCCGAGGCCCTCTAAAACAGACAAGAAGGATCCTCTCTCCTAAGTCCCGCAATCCAGACCATGTCTCTCTTGGCCAGCTCTCTCCCCTTGCCATATTAGTCCTGGCCTTCTCCATTCATCTCTTACCTCCAGATTCATGGATTTGGAGCCAATTTCTCAGACTTTAGATATTTCAAAAAATGAGCCATGATTCACTGATCTGATTAATATCTCAAGAGATCAAATAAGCCACAACTACATATAAGCCATACAACAGACATGGAGACTATGTTGGCTTTTAATGACTTTAGGGGAAAGTTTTTTAACAAACTCACTCACAACCCACATTAATGAACAATAATTCTCCCCAACTAGATGTTCTTCTTGAAACCTTACCTAATTCTCCTTTTCTTCCTCTCTATCATCTACAGACTGATCCATCAGATATATGACTGAATGTACTGCACTGGTCCACTTCCTCCTTATCCTCTCCAAAATAAATCATCCCAACTCACTTAGCCTTTCACAAGTCAAGTCATTCAATACGTTAATCACTTTCAATGTTAACTGAATGAATTTTAGACTTAAAATCCATTCAAATTTTGCTACCTTGGGAGACATTATACAATCCCATTCTGTTTGGAGATACAGGGAGGATCACAGACCAAAGTTACTACTTGCTGGCTTGTGCTCTGCCACAGGCCATTGGCACATCCTCCATTCCTTGTTCCCTGCACAGCGTGCCTTTATTAAAATGCTTCATTTAATGAGTTTAAAGAAGTGTCTTGGAATGCTGGTGATGCCCACGATTCCACGTCCCAGAGTCACTGTTACCTGTATCTCTTATTGTCCACAGGCACAATGTCCATTGCTATGTAGTACTGTTGGTGTGGATCCAGGCCAGTGATTTTCACTCTCATGGCAGGAAACATCCTCCTATGAAGGGGAATAAAGTAGTAACCTCCACAATCAGAGGGGGAGAAGTAGAAAAAGCAAAAGCTTGAAGAGTGTTTTCTTATTAGGTACTCTAAACACATCAAAGTCCAATGTCTTCTAATTCTCAAAATTGGTTACTTTTTTCACTTTGGAAATTATCGCTATAAAATACTCACACTCATCTTATTACCCAAGGAGCTTATCACAGTTTATTGTAGGTCATCATAAAATATTTTTGACTGATTGAGTTTATTGGAAAATGACCACTCTAAAAATAATCTCTCAAGAAAAGATGAAAAAGAGTGCTACCAGTCCCCAAACAAAGGGCCACCATTTTTTAACGCACAAAACTGTAGAAAAATGTCTGCGAGTTCTCAGGCTGTCAACGTGTGTGTCAGAGGAAGGACCTTGCAGAACAGGGAGCAAATACCAAATGAATTCTAGTGGCCTCTGGGCAATACCTTGTTTCTACCGCAATGGCTTGTTAAACTTGCCAAAGCAAGTGAGGTCAGGATATAGCACTTTACAACTTCTCTCATGATTGAAGGGAGGAGGAGAGGGAGCAGCCCAAAAGAGGTATTGAGTTTCAACAAGTCTAGAATAAAGTTTACCATTCTTCTTTAACCATAAGAAAAAAGAAAAACATCGAGTTTTTTTATATCAAGCCAGACATAAAAAGGCTCAGTTCAAAAATTTGGATTGCCCTGAATGTACTCAAGGGTTCTTGTATACAAAACACTGCATTAAGCTTAACCATCTGGGGCTAGTTAGTCGAGCTGGGCAGAACACAGTGCTAATGAGGTCAAGGTCACAGGCTTGATCCACATATGGCCTAATTGGCTTTGCTCCATTTCATGGCCATAGACCATACTCTGACCTCAGACAGCCATCTTGCAAATGTGTACTGGAAGGTTAAATGAGAGGCTCTCTGTGCTAGTCGCACACTCACTACTCATCCAGGAAAAGCAACCCAAAAATCAGACGTCCTCTGGCAGTGACATGATAATCATATTTGAGGAAAAGCACAGGAGAAACCACGGACCTTTAATAGGGATGATGGCTAATTCATAAATAGCTGCAAAGAATAACATACAGCCATTCCTTCTTTCCCACTTTATTACCTTTCAGAAGTTTCTGTTGGTATATCATTTTAGATTTTCTCTTCCTACTCTCTCAAATTTAATTATAAAACCTTATATTTTAGTCTTATGGTGAGCTAATAAAATTTGATGGTAGGCTACTCATAATAACTAAATCTAACATTCACTATAGGTTAGGCACTTTGATCCACATTAATTCTTTCCAAAAATTTAAATACAGATCAGTAACTCCCTTCTTACTAACACTGATTTATAACTACCCTGTATAAATAACTGCCCTGTTTGGAGGTCATCTTGCCAAAGATGGGGCAAAAGTCCTCTCATTTACTTCCTGAGATAAGAAAATGTTCCTCTCAGCTACCTGCAGAGGCTGTATTACATTGAGTGGATTCCTTCTCTTGATGACTTCAAGAAAAAGGGTTGTATGTTTTTAAATTCAGTATCTGTTTTGTCTTGGAACAGTTATATGACCTTGAGTGAAGACAGTACCTATCTTTTCCCAGCACTCAATTTCTGAAATGAATGAGCTGTCTGACTTTGGATAAGACATTTAATTTCATCATTTAGAAAACAAAGGAAAGTGACTAGATAACCTCTAAGGTGCCCTCCTGCTTTAAAATTCTATGACTAAGTTTAAATTCGTTTCTTAAAAACTTTGCAAACATTGCCTTTTCTTTTTGTCAATATTTTAGCACAGAAGTGAAGTCATAACACTCTGAAGAAACATTGATCTTTCATATTTCACAAAATGAGATGTGTTTGGTTTTAATTTTATGGCTAAATTTAGGCCAGTTCTTTTGTCTTCCAAACCCATTAATCCCTACAAGCACCTCTGTCCATGGTGCTGATTATACAGATTGTGTCGGTATGTTCAAAGATTGAGAGCTCTGTAGACAGCAGTAGCTCTGTCTGAATCAACAGGATTACAGCTCGGGGTGTGGGAAGAGGTAGATGGTGACTAAGATTTTCTGAGTGTGAAAACGGACAGACGGTCATACATAATTAACAATGGAAACTGAAGTTAAAATGAAAAAGAATACTCGTAGGAATGAAAATGAAGTGAGAAGGAACTGGCCAAGGGAATGGGGAGAGATAAAGAAAATTTGCAGAAGAGAAAGTCTTCTTTGTATGCTTCTAAGTTGTTTTAGAATTATCTGAGCAGAATCATGTGTAGCAAGAGCAACAGCTGAGGCAATCAAATACAGAAATGATGAATGTAGTTTCTAAACCTAAACAAAGGAGTTCAATATAACTAAAGAACAAATTGTATGTCTGTGCTGGGGAATATGTTAATGTATCTGGGTATCAAGGTGAATTTGTAAAACCAGAGATGTAGAGAAGAAAACACTACGGAAGAATGAGTTACGTGAGAGTTGTCAAGGAGGTGCACAAATGAGCTGAATTCACTGAAGCGCAGGAATAAGGAAATACCAAGTACAAGACTGACTGGAATACACAGACCCAGTAGTAATAAAATGAAACCACAAAATGAAATCTGGAATATCTTATAGACAAAGAACAATTGTAATATTTCTTCTCTCTCCAAGCCAACCCCTCTACCAAAAACTAAAAAACAGAAAAAAAAAAGAAAAGAAAGAAAGAAATTTTCCCTTGAATTGCTTTGTTTTCTTCCAAGCTTTAGCACCACAAAATTTAGAACCGGAGTACACTGAGACCCAAGAAACAAAAAAGAGATGGCGTTGAAAGTAATTCTCCTACAAAGTTTCTCCACCTAGGAACCCCTAGTTTAATGGTTCCATCCACTAATAAAACTCAGTGAAGGAAGAGAGTTCCAGAAGAAAACAAAAATGAACAAGATTTCAGATTCATTGAAACCTCATGCTTTTGTGATGTCTTATTGTAGTGGGATGTTTCTCTATAGGCATACAGGTGAACTGGAGTCAATCAAAATATTCTTTTACTCTCAACGACTACGTTTATAAAAACAGCTTATAAGCAGTGAGGTGGGTCTTCTGGTCCACATGACAAGTGAGACTATTCAGATTGGCTTTGAAAACATGAAAGTAGTATAATCGTTTTTGCTTAATTTAAATTAACTATTCCTATATTCTCAAAAGCTTCCTCCAAATTTAGTTTTATCTAAATCATTTTCATTTTTAATCCAAGAGACAATTAACTACAATGATTTCTTAATAGTACAGGGTTATAAATAGTTCAGACCTTCCTTTTAGAGCCACATAGATTTATTTAGAATTCTAGACCTGCCCCCTGACTACCCTTGTGCCTTAGTCAAGTTAATCAACTTCTTCTGGCCTCTGCATCCTAACCCATATATTAGATGATCATATCCTACTTCATAGGATGCCTGTGAAGTTTAAATGACATATGTTGAGTGTCCAGCACAAAACAGATACCCAACTATGAAAAACTGAAAGATGCCAATACAGGAGTATATTGACTAAAAGTGCCTATTTCAAGAGAAACTGTGTTTTTAAGACTTCATTATTCTAGATAAATAACAAGAGATTCCACAGGTTGCTGTTAAAGTTTTGTAATAATTTCAAGTCAACAATAAAATACAATGGACCAATAAATAGGCCTCGGAAGATGCACCAAGCCCAACTCTTAAAAAAAAAAAAAATTCTTACAAAAGCATCTGATTGTTTTAAGTGTCTTAGAAGATGCAAGCTGTTGTTTGGGAAGCAAACTTCTTGAAAACATTGAATGGTGAAGTAAACACTTGCTTTGGAAATCTATCTTTTGGCTGTTGAGATACTATAGGCCTCTAGTATTAGCTGAAATTCATTTGTAGGTGGAAAATGTTTGTGAGGGTAGAGGTGATTTAGATTTGAATGGCCTTTGGAGGAGAACAGCAAAAATCACAGTACGCACAAGAGGACCATTTTACCAAGATGTCTAAATGCAGAAAAGTGAGTGTGAGTTGCTTTGGTTTCACTGATGCTACCACAAATAAATGGGGGGAGGGTATGTAATGGCTCCTACTTCTGTAGATTCTTTGAATCGGGCCACTCAAAGGAATTTGTCCTTACCTGCCTGCTTTGGTGATGATCATTTCGGTTCCAATATCATGGAACCTCTTCCAGAGGTCAGCACATTGCAGCTCCACCTGAATCTCCTCCATGGAAGACATGGCAGCAGGCACAGGGCCTGCAGCACCAGAGGCCAGGTCAGTGTGAGTGCTGAAGGAGCAGGAAGTCCGCTCGGTGAGCACCTCGGAGTCTGAACCAGTGCTCTGCTCAGAATCTGCAAAATAAACAATCAAGCCTTAGGTGAGAAACTGCTGCGCTCCTCCCTCCCCACCCCTGGCCTTAAAAGATGGGGCGGGAGTTGGGGGATGCAGTAAAGTGGGGAGAGGGGTGAACAAAAGGAGACTTAAAGGTGGGAAGCTCCAGAGCACAGCATTCAGGGTATTTTATTATATTTTATGGTTTGTTTTTGTGATTTATGACCTTCTTTCAGGTTTTGTGTTTCCAACTTGACATCTGGCATTTTAGTAAGTTTTAGCAAGAGCTGAAGTAAACTGGTCCACAACAGGCAATATAAAGAGTACTAAGTACTAATGTCACCATCTTAAGGGGAATGAGGCCAAACTGGGGTGATGCAATAAATACCAAATTAAAGTAAAATAATAATTACAGACAATAGGTAAAAATATAAATTAGACTATTTCATTTGGAGGAATAAAATTTCAATGCTAATAACAACTTGCTCTTCAATTGCATACCACTCAGCGTCACTGCCCATCACTCAGTTATTTTTAAACACAGCAATTTTTCCTCCACTTATATGTGCCCTGGCCATCAAAAGTAATGAAAATCTGTTTGGGGCCTTTAGAAGCACTTTGTCATATATTGGAGTAAACGGTTTTTCCTAAGAGTCCAATCAGGCCATTTTTGGATGGGAAAAAAATCTCTGTTGTGAGGCAAGTATACAAGCATATGGAAAAAGTTACCCAAGAAGGCAGTTGAAACAAAGGGAATAAACGAGTTCAGGAGACACCTTGATTGGTTTCTGAAGTATGGGCAGAGGGGAGGGGTGATCCAAACAGGAAGGTGGGATTGAGAGCAACCAAATAAAAAGTTGGCATGCTGGGCCAGATGGTCCTTTCCTGTGTCTTCTGCACTCATGAAGACAGGTGGGGTGGGGAGACGGGAAGTAGACTGAAGGAGCAAGCTGGAATCAGAACTACCCAAGAAGAATTTTCTGGTATGTAAAAAATTCACTTTTAGGAGCCTGATGTCAAGAATTATACGTTTTAGGATTTTCCAAATTCAGATTAGCTAGTATAATTTTCTTAGGTCAAATGATACTGCAAACCAAAACTAAGAACCTATTTCTTTAACCCATCCTTAATGTCTAGGATTCTGATTGCTTTCCCTGTAAATAAATATATATATATATCAGTAAGGTTGGAACAGTGGTGTCTTACTCTGATAAATGACTTTTTAATTCTGTCAAGGGTCAGAGCTTCTTAGGCATCAGTCCCTGACAGTACTAAGATGGAAAAAGAATGAGACCGAATGCCAGACCACCTTGCTGCCAATGTCACTTACCTGTAGCAGGTTTATACACCTACGAACAACACATCCCATGGTTTCTTTATTTTTCTTTGTTTTTATCCATGACGTTTTTCTTTCTCAAACCCAGGCAGCATCTCTGGCAAGAATATCCCACAGTTTTGTCAAAGCCCACAGGGAATAAAGTGCCCAAAGGGAGAAAAGTGTCATTCCGCTCCATCCTCCTCAATTCCTCACCTGTCACTTCTGAATATAGTCAGTTTGCTGGAGAACTGAACCAAGCTCCAAAATACAAGAGATGTTTCTGATCAAAAACTTTAGTTTATTCACAATCACTAGTCCAGTTACTATCTTCATCAAAAAAAAAAAAACTATAAGGTTTTATAACTGGTTTTATATGTCTAAGCACATAATTTTATACCTTGGGCTAAGCAGCAGCTATTTTTGGTCTCCTTCAAGTACAGAAAAGTGGAACTACTTATCTAAGATGAGAGCTGCTGCTGAGCGACAATCTCCACCCTGGCCTGATTCTATATGCCACTCAGTAGCAGAGTCATATCACCACACACTGAGCCAAACGCAGTAATTCAAACAACCTGAGACATGGATTCCTCAGTCCTATTTTGTTTCTGTGATATCCCAAGGTCTCCTCACTTATCATGAATATTGTAACTTTTTCAAAAGCTTCTCAAAACAATATTTTAAAAATATAGTCTTGCTCTACCTTTGGGACTAAAGTGTTAACAAAATCTCTTCACCACAGTGTGCCACAATTACAAAAACAGTTGGAAATATACACCCTTAGTAGCGCCCAGCAGCAATTTTTGACGTATATTTCTCCAGTGTATGTTGAGGAAGAGGGAGGGTATAGAAAGGTATCACTGTACTAAGTGACAAATTTAATGGTAGCCAAATTGAGGTTGGGATTTGAATGGGGACTATGTCTGGGGAATTAGGAAATAAGAGACTCTTACTTCACTATATCACCTGGAATTAAATAGGGACTCAAAATGTAACATCAAATGGATTAAAACATAATCTTCGACAAGTAATTTAACCACCAGGGGACTATGTCCTCATTGTGCAATGAGAAGGATTGAACTGAAACGTTTTAGAATCTCTTCTACCTCTAATGCCTCGAAGAATGTAAGAATCTTCTCTGATGCAAGTGATAACCCAGATAACCTCAATTAGAGGCATCAAATTTAAAACTGTTCGAGCAAGACAAGTTAAATAAAGAAAAAGACTCAGATTCACATTATCACAGGAGTTAACGAATTGAGTGGGTATTCTCTAAGGGTTTATAGTTTCAACCAAATCAATCCATAAGCACCTATCAGCATATGGCCCTACATGAGGTACCATGTAGATAATTAGAAACAGAATCCCAGACCTTAAAAAGTTTCCCAGCTAGTGTTGATTAATTATGTGTTTATTGAGTGCTTACTGTGTGCCCAGCACTGTGCTAGATTCTGGGAAATACCAAAGTACACAATGAGACCCCTGCTTAAAGCATTTACAGTGCGGTGGAGACTGGAAGCATTCATAAATAATCAGAGACCCACACAAATCACTACCACAGTTTTCCACACCATTACATACTGTCTCGGATGTCTCATAGGAGTCCAGAAAAGAAAGGGATCTGAAAGGGCTGGAACAGTCCTGGGGAACCCATGGTTACTAGGCAGGAAATGAATAAGTCTGTGGAGGTATAGGAGGTATTTGCCCATGAAGAGGATTTTCAGAGACAGTTATTTGTTTCCCTGAAAATATTCTGAACTTCTAGATTCTTCCTCCCTGACAAAATAGAGCCCAGTGACTTTTACATACAGGATGTAGGCACCAGCCCACATTTGCAATAACGTGAATGCACCATGCAATTTTCCATTCTCAATTGCTTCTTAGTATTATAGTTTGGAAATAAAATTAATGTTACATTTTATATAGTTTTTAAAAACTTTGAGAGGAGTTAGGGCCACCCGTGAGGTCAGCTACCCTGCAATACCCTTAAAATAGTAATCTCAGAGTCAAGATCAACAGCCTAGGTAAAAATCAAATTTAATCCTTTGTAAAATACATTTCTAAATTATAGTTACATAAAATATTTTGTCTAACCAGATTAAAAATTTTCACTATTTATTAGAATGTATAATCAAGTCACCTAAGTCACGAATGTAAGAAACACATAGCTGGTTATTTTAATCAAATCAGATCATCCATTCAGAAATATAAACAGTCCCTTGAAGATGAAAAAACACCTCTGTGTTTTCAAGTTTGTTTATTCTGGGCAATTTGTGACTTCCTGTCTTCAAAAACTAACCATTAGGAACTCATTTGAATGACCCAGAAGAATTTCTTGGCTATCAGATGCCTCTTATGAATAGCATTTCAACAAGAGAAGTTTCAACAAATCAGGAACATAAAATGCTACACATAACCAAGGCAGTTAAAGGAGAAAACTTAGGGAACCTACACTGAGCCAGTTACAAGTCACTGGAGAACATCGTGTGACTCATAGGGTTGAACCAACACATCTATTCCCCTCCCCCAAAAAAATCCTTAAAAAAGAGCTTTTAACCATCAGTTCACAGTGTCACTCATTGTCTATCTCTCCCCTATTTCGCTTTGACAAAACGAATGCTGTAACAGTAAGTTCCCACAGAAAGTTGAGTTTAGCTTAGAGTGAGTTCAATTCTCACTCTAGCAATAATAACATAATAGTTTCTTAATTTTTATTTTATACATTATCTAATATAGCCTTCTGATTGATACGATAGACATAGCATATACTTTTATGTCTATTTTGTGGATGAGGACATTGAAACTAAGAGAAATTGAAAACTAACAAGGACCAGAACATAGGTCTTCTGCCTCCTGACCCAGGGATCAGACCTTTCCAAGACCATACTGTGTCCAACCCTGGCCAAAGCGGCTGACCATTCTGCAACTGCCCTCAACTATTTTAACCATCCTCACAACTAAAATGGCTTAAACATGTTTAATCTTAGCCAAGTCACATGATGATTCTGGTCCACAATTTCCTTAATCTTTATAGCACAGCACATGCACATTTAATTACACTTGCTGTAAAGTCCCTTTTAACTCTAATGTTTAATAGATGGATTAGTAGTGCAGCTTAGAGACCACCAAGTCTAACAACAGCAAACTAACCGCAATAAGTTTATTTGGTTACCACACATAGAAAACGCCTAAATTGCATACACTTTTATTTTAATGAACTCAATATCAAAATTAGACATTATTAAAAGATATTTTACATTCTACCAAGTGATCTGCATCTCCACTTAACAGCTAATTTTGAGGAATCATCCACTACTACAGTGAATGAACCACATTTACTCCTGTGGCTCTGCTACTCACCAGCAGTGGGACTTTTAAAAGTCTCTTTTGTTCACGGGGCCTTGGTTTCTTTGTCTTTACTATTAAGGGTTAGGGGTCTAACATATCTTCCTGCATGATAAAAATTATAATTACATCTTTATGATAAAACATAATCTGTGCCAGGCACGGTGGCTCACGCCTGTAATCCCAGCACTCTGGGAGGTCGAGGCGGGAGGATCGCTTGAGGTCGGGAGTTCAAGACCAGCCTGAGCAAGAGCAAGACCCCTGTCTCTACTAAAAAATAGAAAAAAACAATTAACCAGGCAACTAAAAATAGAAAGAATTAGCTGGGCATGGTGGCACACGCCTATAGTCCCAGCTACT